GTGCTGGCATCTTTTTTTCTATATATCTCCTTCTACTGTCTTTGATAAAGGTCATATGACTTACTAAGGGTTTTATATAATTAGATTATTCATCATATAATCAAACAGAAAAGTTAATTCTGCATCTGGGTTAACATATTTTGCAGCAAAGGCTAAATTGAGAACAGCAAAGTTCCTGAGTTTAGACTGATGGCAGTTAACAAAAGTTCCTGGGAAAATTTCAGACTATTAAGGCCATGGATTGAGAGGGGTCAGACCTGAGATTTCTAGTGTGTGAAGTTATACACAGGTGATGTTGGGGTTACATGTGGAATGACATATGTGGAAGAGCTAGAGAGTTAGTCCAAAGTGCAGCTATGATTAGAAGATGGGGATGGAAAGCAGAGAGGCCCAGAGAAGAGTTGGGATCATGCTGAGCCAGGACATTGTCAGATGGTAGGGCAGGGGCTGTGGGCTCACGTTCTCCTTCTGGTGCACCACCTCACATTGAAAGACCTTTTGTGATAGTTTCATTGCTCTGTGATTAGGCTTGGAATTCTGGTGGGGAGGTGCCTCTCAGAGCCCAGCTGTCTGAGGCCACAGTTGCTTCCAGATGATGGAGAACAATTGCTGTGTTCTGAGCAGACTTAGTACCATGGCTGAGCTTAAGCTAGACTGTATAAGGCATTTATTCCATTTTCTACTTCTTTGTGCTGGGGCTTATTCTTCTGTTTTTCTACCCCCTAGTGATGAATCTATATTTGTCAATGTTTATGTAAATCAGAGTCATGAATCAGGTAAGTGAACCCTAGTACCCAGCAGAGCCTGATTTTTCCCTATTCTTCCCACTTTCCTTTTCACACATAGAGAGACTCTGAGATGGGGCCTCTTGGGACGGATTAGAACATCAGACTTCTAGAGAAGCTTGTTAGACAGTGCAGGGGTCCCAGTGAGGAACAAAGTTTTTCCTGTTTAAACCTCCAGTCTAACTGTGAGATGGGCAAATGGTGCTCTAACCCACACAGTCAGTAACAACAACCTCCACATGAACGAACTAGGTAATTACCTAAAATATTAAATACTCAAAAAACATTGATATTTTTCTCATCTCTATGTTAAATGGAAATGATAAGGCAAATGACAAAACAATACCCAACTGATTTTATTTTTCTGTTAAAAATGTATATACATTTATGATGAAAGGGTGCATAAACTCAGTGTAAAATGCAAATAGAACAATATATAAAATAAAATGTAACAATATGTGTATGCAAGTCAAATGACTATATTAGATTTCATATTCTACAGTAAAATATGACAAACTGAAACCTATAAAATGGGGTGATGTTTAAAATTAGTCATATAATATAAGCCAGCTGGATAATACACAATACATCAATCAGCATTTACCTACTTTAGCTTAGATGGGACATAAA